GGGGAGCTCGGAGGCCGAGGCGGCGGCCGCGGGGGACGAGCTGGCCGCGGGGGACGAGCTGGCCGCGCTCTTCGAGCAGGCGGCCGCGCGGCTGCCGGCGCTGCTGCCGGCCGCCACCAAGGAGCAGCTCCTCTACCTGTACGCCAGGTACAAGCAGGTGAGGGCCCGGCGCGCGGCCCCCTTCCCCGGTGGCCACCCCCCGGTTTGGGGCCCGCTCTCGGGATGCGCGGAGCGAGGCCGGGCCCGGGAGCTGCGTGGCCCGAACGGGGCTCCCCCGCCCGGCGGGAAGGGGCGGCCGTTAACGGCGCGCGGCGGCCGTTAACGGCGGGCGGGCGGCGGCCGTTAACGGCCGCCCCTTCCCGCCGGACGGGGGAGCCCCTTCCCGCCGGGGCAGTCCCGGCCCAGCTGGGGAGGGTCCCGAGAGCCCCGTAGCTGCCGCCGTCCCCGCCGCCCGCGGCCGCGCTCCTCGCCGCTGGAGCCTCCGGCGGGGCCACGGCCGCAGCGCCCGCGCCGGGGCCTCGGCCCTGCCCTGCGCTCCGTGCACCGCAGCCGCGCACGGCACCGAGCACGAGCCCGCCTGCCGCTCCCGCGAGCTCCTGGCAGGCATCCCGCTGGCAAACGCGTTGTGGTGTGCCCCTCTCCTCTAGGGATGCCGTGGGGAGGCCTCCCTGCTGCCTGCGTGCGTTTTCAGCAAGTGTTTTCAAAGGACTGCTTTCTGTCCCTTAAAGAAAGGACAGATGATGTCCTCTGAAATGTCTTCTGTGGGTAATGGACTGCGCTTAAGTTTCCTGTTCTTTGTCAGATGGGTCCTTTGAGGTCATGCGGTTTGCTGAAAGGTTCAAGGCGTTAAAAGCAGCTTGAGGGCCATTGCACTGTTAGTTACCCTGCCAGAGCTTCCCTCCTGCCCTTAATAAGAGTGGCAGTTTTTCCTTTTCCTGTGGGAGGATCTATGTAAACAAAACAAAAAAACGGGGAAAGGAGGACTGTAACAAAGTTGTGAGAGCTGTTACGACTGGGAAGTGAAAGAATAAAGGCACAAATGGGAATGTGTGGGACGAGATGCTGCCCTGACTTGACATTGAATGTGGTCCTGTTCCATCAGCTTGGATAAACAGAATCAAAAGGAAGTGCGTGCATCTTCCCCATAACTTTCCTTCCCTATGTGACACACTACAGATATTGTCTCAGTACAGGCGCTTAGAAGCCGCTTTATGTTTTTAAGCAATACTCAGTTTTTCTGCAAGGCTTGTGGCTCCCAACCTGTGCTTTGAGGGCCATTAATTGCATTAAGCACAGGCAGGTTGTGTGATGTCCTGTCCTCAGGTTTTGCTGCTGCTTAAAAAGGTCTCCAGGATCCTTTTTGCTTTCAAGAAAGAGGGAAGACCGACACAGGGAACTTTAATAAGCGCTTTCAGACAATGCCTGAGATGAGATGAAGTTTTTTGTTCCCTCCCCTCTCCTGCACAGTAAACTCATTTTTTATTGCTTGTAGTTATTGGATGAACATTCCTGTAGCCTCAGGAGTCATGATGCAGTTATCCCCTTTTTAACTTTATTGCAAATCTTTTGGACTACCTTTGGGTGGAAAAGGTAAGAAGTTTCCTGTGTGTTTGTTAGTAGCCAGCAAGCTACAGAGCATTTCCTGGTATTGGCCACATAAGGGCAACAGGCTGTTTAATGCTGTTTAGCTTAAAAATTAGTAAAATCTGAAGCTATTTCAGGACGTACCTGGCTGAGCTGCAGCATTAGGCTCTGCTCGGTTCAAATATTGCAGCATTCTGTGCTTTAAATCAAAGTGCTGGTACTTAATGTAACGTTTCCCTCTTTAATTAGAGCAGCCCTATCAGTATGCAGAGTGGGCTGCCCGTATATTACTCCAGGGGACAGCAGTGCTGCTAACGTACCAGGGGTGCTGACTCAGATCTGTCCGCTGTCCTTGATTTGGCACCTTTGTCTTTCCTCAGTCTAGTGTTTTACAGCACTAAAGGCTGTGATTTAAGACTCAGCACCATCGTAAAGGAGATGACAGTAACAGCAGAGCTCTCTGTTAAAATCCTCTGTGTTATTTATTTCAAACTATTTGGGTATATAACCATTTTCCTGGAATTTTATTGCCTTTTATTGGAGACCATTTCAGGATTTTATTGCTTTTCTCTCTGATTTTGTTTATGTGTCAGAGACTTGGAAATAAGGGAACTGCTTAGTTGTCATCTCCAGTGAGCTTTTTAGAAGATGTTGCTGAGTTTACGACTCTGTGCCCAGAAGAGGAGGAAGGGGCTCACGACTGGGCCTGTTTTTCTGGTTCTCCCCCTGCTTCTCATGTGCCTTTGGATGTGTCACTTGTCCTCTCTGTACCTTGAGCCTTTGGTGGCAAGGGCACGGCAGCAGCAGTGTTGGGGATGTCCCAGTGAGACCCCAACTCAGAAACTGTTGTAATAAAACAAAATTTGCCCTTCAAGTAGCGGGGAGAAGCCAAAGCTTTGCAGGCGGGGACCAGGCTGTGAGAGCTGCTCTGCTGGAAGGAGGTGCCAGGATTTAAGTAAATGATGGGAGGTTCCAGCAAGCTGGAAATCCAGTGGTGTAACCACGACAGGGCTTGTACTGTCCCTCGCGGGTGTAGATTTAAGTAGATAATCCCATTTTTGTGTGATTTGCCTTTCAAATATTCTAGGACATTATACCGCAAATCTGTTGTGGAAATGGGTATTTCAGCTTGCAATTTCCTGCTGTGTTGTGGAGCTGAGCCTGTATTACTGGTGTTATTCTTCCAAACTAAGAGGGGAATGTTCTTCCCTAGGCTTTCAGGCTTGGGACACTTTATGTCCTATCTCTGTGAACACAGTTCGTGTCTCCAAGCTGTCTGCTGAAGCCACCAGTCTCCAGGTGGGTGCTTCAGACTGGGGTTTTGGAGCTTCTCTGTTGTCTACTTGTAGACACTTCCCATCCCAAGTTGCCTCGGTCATCTCTGGGCATGATCCATCACTGTATAACTCCACATGGAGAAGCGGGATTGGGGAAGCATTTGATGTGTTCTAGCTGTCTTTTTTTTTTTTTTTTTTTTTTTTTTTTATGGAGCTGCTGGTGTGTAAACGAGGAGAGCTGAACATCAGGAGACCAGTCAGCCTCCTTTAGGCCATCAGTTATTACACTGTGGATGCAGAGTGTGAGCCTCTGACTCAAAATAATGCCATGGTCTCTTGTCTTTCTCTTGCCTGTGGAGAAAAACAGCTTTTGAGGCCCTGCCCTGGAGCAGCAGGGGTGCTGAATCTTCACAAAATGTTTTCTTTTCCCAGTATTTGCCATGGACTCACACTGGGATATTTAGCTCCTGTTTAACTTCCTGTCTCTCTCAAGCTGTCAGGCTCCCCTTTCCTCTGATGTTAGATTTCTGTTAGCTTTTTGATGCATTTGCAGCAAGAAGGAGGCAGTTAAGACCTGTATTTCCCTCTTTCCAATAAAAGAATTTTGACTGTTTTTAGTATATATTGAAATAGCAAAGAGTGCAGTGCACTTTCCCTTGATGGTTCAGATTTAATTGCTGGTCTTTGATTTGCATTACTATCAGTGTTGCTAACAAGGTTTCCCAGTGCTCAAACAGTCTCTGAATACCGAATCTAAAGGGAGGAACCTGCTGTCTTGTTTTGGTCACAACAGTGAGCAATTAATATTTAAAAATGTTATTTTTATCTGTTTTTTTGGGCAGTTTTTGCAGGCTGCACGTTGAACTCAAGAATTTATAGGCAGACTTGTTCCATATGGATAATGAATTTGCATTTTTATTTCTGTGTTTCTGTGTTGCACTCAGCTCCGTATCTGAGAGCTGATGAAACCATTTACAATACAAGATGAACCCCGAGCGATATATAGGACTTAACTATTGCTAGTCGTTTTTTTCCTGAAACCTTTTTAAGGTTGCATGTATCTATTAATACCGGTTCCTTCCCTCACTTTCTTCTGTTGTTTCTCTCTTATTTGCCCCCGTCACAGTTTAATTTGCAGCCTGCTCTGACGGGCAGTTTCATTTTGGGCGTTTTGGCTCACGTTGTGACTTGTTTCTCATTTAGTGCTTCCTATGCAGCCAGGTACCTTGGAGCAAGTTTAAAAACTGTGAGACGCAGCTAAAATGCAGGTAAAAGGAGCTGAGTTCAATGTGTCAATTCTTTCCTTCCCTCAAAAAACTTTAATCTGGTATAAGAATAAAATTATCTAGAGGCCATTAGAGCCCAGTATTCCCTCATGGCAGCTCCTTTTATTTTGTTCTAACACAAAATAATTTCTTTTGTTTAGGTTAAGTTTGGAACCTGTAACACTCCGAAGCCGAGTTTCTTCGATTTTGAGGGGAAGCAGAAATGGTAAGACGAAACCCTTGTAATTCCTAGCAAATTGTGACCCAGCTCTTTTTTGTTTTATGACTCCATCCCCCATGTTAACAGACTGCGAACGTGACTAGTTGAACATGTCAGTTCTCAGGGTCTGTCCCTGCAGTGGTTTTGAAATCCTGTATTAATACAGAAATACAGTCACAAAAGCATTGTTCTTCCAGTGTGATTAGAGTCACATTGGTGTCATCTGGGCACAGGCCCGAGATGTGAGAGGCAGATGCCTTTACAGCCCCAGAGAGCGTGTAGCTGAGTGTGACCACTGTGGAAAAGCACACCGTATTTACTGATATTTTGTCCTTTCTCCTAGGGAAGCCTGGAAAGCTCTGGGAGACTTCAGTCCTCATCAAGCTATGCAGGAGTACGTTGCCACAGTGAAAAAACTGGACCCTAGCTGGAATCCTCAGGTAGGAAACCTGAAAATACTGTTTAAAAAAACAATACTTTTACAACAAAAAGTATTTGTGTCTTTGTAAAACTAACAAGGGTTTAACTTCACGCAGACTTTAATTGCTGTATAGGAAACTTCATTTTTGGCAGATTGAAGTCTAAATTCATTTTTTTAATTCTCCTGTTATTAAGATTGAGGCCTGAAGGACCTTCTTTTTCGTCTGTAATTATTCACATTACAGTGAGCACATGCACGGGGTTGATTTGACTGTCATGATCTAATTTATTTTGCTTTTATCGGTTCATGCTGTATTTAGCATGTAAAGATACTTCTTATCCTTTTCTCCTCTTTCTCTTTTCAACTACTACTTAAATGTTGATCAATACAAAGTAATCTTCATAAAAGTAACATGAACTGAATGATCAATTCTGAAAATCTTTCCTTTTTGTTTTGATGCAGCAAATTACCAAATCTGATTATGATTAGGCACTCCAGCATAACAATCACATTTGAAGGTCCTGTATGTGTGTGTTACAGGGCAATGGTACTATCAGTTTAATTAATCTGTCTTTCATCTACCAGGTTTGTGAATGCTTAAGGTTATCTCCCTATGTAGCAGGTTTTGTAATTGGAGAGGATTGATCTTTGGAAAAGTAGTTTCTTTAATTGGAGGTAGAATGGAGATGTTTTATTAATAGCAATATGTTGAACACGCTATATTTCTGTTTTTGAGGTAGGAGTTGGATTGCACTGTTGATCCAGCATCTTGGAAGAAAAATTTTGTATGATTGCAAGCCTCTGAATCAAAAACCTGATTCTCAGTTGCCATCTAATGCTGTTCTGGGGTTTAAGAGTAATTGTCATTTCTTCACTGACTCTTGATAGGTGGAGTTGATGCCGTTTCTGCAGCAAAGAGATTTTTTTTGAGGGGGAAAAATAGCATTATATGCAGTGTAGTGCAATTAGCAAAGGCTAGACATAGGCAGGTTATCCAAATGGCTTCAGTTATATTGTGCGTCTCAGGTTTGTGATTTTCTAGTGCTGAAACCTCTCAAGTCACTGGTTTAAAGAAATATTATTATTTTAAATGCTTCTTTCTGCAGTATTTCAGTAGGCGTTATCACATTTGCATAGCTACACATAACATGACTTCTGAAGGCAGCATTTCTTTCCCTTTTCGTACACTATGTAGTCTCAGCACAAGGAGTTAAAATGCCCAGGAGAGTTTGTAGAGCCCTGTCTGGTTGATTGTCCATTCACCAGCACACTTCTTTTTTGTCTAAACTGTTTCTCTTTTCCTGTGTTTTGCCTGCGACTAAGCTTGAGATCCACTAAATGGGTCTGTGAGGTTCATGTTGAAGGAATGTGATCAGCTCCAGAAAGGCCGCAAGGGAGAAGGTTCCATTAGAATAGAATGGAATCTAGAAGTTAGCATTAAACTACACATGACATTGTTTTCTTTAAAGAAAGCACCTATACTTCCTGCTGTATTTTTGCTTTTATATCACCAAAGTTCCATCAGTTTTCCTGTTCTCCCATCTCTCTCCCGCTGCAGTTTAGCTGATTCTCCTCCCTGGAGCCACGAGAGGGAGCTCTGTTCTTGAAAATAATGGAGATGTCTTGGCCAGACGATGGCGATAGAATGATAGTTATTTTAAACTTCAAATTTCAAATTGAATTTACCCTAACTCTTCAGTTGCCCTAACTCCTCCCCCACATCCCAAAATAAAAAAAAAATATAAAAAAACCCAAAGAAACAGAAACTGTAGTAGATTTGCTGCTGTTCTACGGACTTCAGATTCTCAGTATTTTTGTTAATAAGTGGCATGAAACTAAATACAATCCTCATAGATGTAAGTCTTCATTCTCTTTTCTTCGTTCTTTATTGAGTAAATCCTTTATGTTCACTCTACAGTTTCTGTATTAGCATGCTTTGACCCTCAGACTATAATTACTGTAATTTAGCGATCTTGTTTTGCTTGTTCCAACTGAAAAATAAACTAGATGTCTCCTGATAAGAGCATCTTGAAACGAATGCTCGGAAGCACCAAAATGTCATCTACTTCCTCCTGCAAGTTGGAGCACCTCAGCTTCCTTGGAGAGAGCTGAACATGGAGAAGCGGTGGCCGTTCCCTGCCATTCCCTGCTCTCTGGTGCTCGAATGCTGCTTCCGACAGTAGTTCATCTTCTTGGCCATTTCCATCACGTTTAATTTTACTTATCTCTAGCCACTAGCAGGCTCTCTGGTGTGGTCAAGCTTGCTTTTTTTTTTTCTTTTTTCAGGGCTCCGAGATCTGGTAAGAAATGATCGTATTGCATGTATTTTCAGCAGTTCTCTTTGCTGTAATATCTTTAACATAGCAGATAATCTGAAAAAATATTAAAGTGACATCAACTACAACAGTTGCTGCCTGCTATGGATCATTTGCATTCAGACCTTGTTGTGTTGTTGTGGCTTTGTGATGCTTTGGTCCTTCTCCCTGAAGCAGCTGCCAGGAGCATTGGAACTAAACTCCTCCATTCTCCTCCTGATGCCATCCGTGTTCCTTGCCATCTTCTACCTTTTAGCACATCTTTTGTTTCTTGCTCTTTCCTCGTGAGTCATGCCTTTCAGTCTCAAGTTCCAGTCAGAAGCAAGGTAATTGCTTGGACCAACTCAGCTCTATTTACATATTTCAGAGACATCACCTGTCCTTCAAGTCTACTCACTCTTCCCTCAGAACAGAGAATAATTTATGAAGCAGTTCCTTTGTGTTCTCTCTTCCTAAATAGAAACACTTCCTGCTGTCAGCAGACTGCTTTGGGTCCTTTGGAGTGTGTGTGTGTGTGTGTCTGTGTGTCCTGGCTGCTTCTTGGCTCCTACCTGCCTTCATCCTGCTTTACTGGCAGCAAATGGTGCTTCAAACACGTTGCTTTCTGAGGCTTTTGCTGGTGTGCCTCTGAATCTGGCAATGATGTTCATCTGTTGTCCCTGCCAGCCACCTATAGACTATTTATTGCCCATGTGCATTTATTTGTTGGAGCCCTCTCTCTCATCTGCAATAGCCATTGTTATTTTTTTAGTGTCAGTTCCATTAGAGTTAGTCACATTTACCAAGTCTTTCAAACCTCAGATTGGCAGGAGAGTTTGCTGTGTCCACGGGCAGTGATTGCTCAGGCACACGGGAGCAGAGGAGGGTCTCTGTCTGAGCAGCACTGTACAAATCTCTCCTGGATTGACTTTATTTGATGGGGTACTAGCTAGAGGTGTGTACACGGTGCTGCAGGGAGCTGCTGATTGTTCCTTCTAACAAGATGGTGATGTGGCACAGTTTAAATAATAAAAATAAATAATAAAAAAGCATCCAGGTTTGCTCATCAGTTTTAGCCTTCCATTTGCTGATTATGATTTTGGCATCTCTTCATGCAAAATATTTCCTTTTGCTAAATCTTACGTTGCATATTTACCAGATCCAGTCAAAACAGCTTGTCCCTCTGCTCAATTTCAGTGATATCCAGTCTCTAAGCCCTTGCAGAGGTCACCTTCCTATCTGCTTTGCTGAAATTCACGGGAGGACTTGAGGGTTTTGTACCTGTAGAAAATAAATGGTGCTTTATCCCATGCCGAGCTAGCTTGTGTTGAATAGGCTTCCCCAGTAATGTGCAAAGTGAGATTGCTGCAGCGTAGCAAGGAAGTTCTGTTCTGTCTTGGGAATGTGCAGCGGGCAGACACGGCGCTAAGGGGAAGCAGGAAGAGGTACAGTTCAAGGGGAACGGCCGTTCACCGAGTCACTTCCCTAAGCTCTTGCAGGTTTGACACAGCCCTGCTCACGTTACGGTGCAGAAGCGTCCTGTGTTTTCCAGTGGCTGCTCTGCCTCGCGTGCAGGCTGGGCACAGCGCCGGGAGCGGAATCCCGCAGGAAACGGCGCGTTCCTTGGGCAGGTGTCGGCAAGCCTTTGTGCAGTGGGTGCTGCAGGGGGCAATGTTGGCCAGGGTGCTGCCCTGCTCCCAGCACGGGGCTGCGCCTGGTCCCTGCTCCTGCAGCCGCTCCTCAGATAACCCTTCTCTGCCACGTTTTAAACACAAGAAGCAAGTTTGCAGAAGCTAAAAGGTGTGAGAGGGGGTTGCGCTTTGAGGGTACAGCGATAGGCAGGAGAGGTGATTTTGAGATTTGCTGAGTGGCTTGTGTGTACGTGTATTTTTAGGTTGCAGCAAACGTTATTAAAATACTTAAGCATTTGATTAAATTGATGGACATGTTTAAGTCATACCTCCAAGCCAACTGAGAATTTCTATACTAAAAGAAATGCAGGCTCTGTATAAGTCAAATTTTTATAGTATAAGTCAAGTATAAGTTAAGTATAAGTCAAATTTTGTATAAGTCAAATTTTTGAATTCCAAACCTGATCCTTTTTTTTCTTAAATTTGGACTCCGTGCTCAGATTCTTCCTGTTGACACCTGGCTGGAGCAATAAGCTTTGTTCCTTTGCAGTCTACAGGTTTCCTATTAGATCAGCTTCTCAGAATTAATGTAGCAGACGGATAAATCACCCTGCAGTTTTAAGCCTAAATCTGCAGATTTCCTGGTTAGGATCCCAAGCAGTCAGACAGAATTCCTTCTGGAATTTAAGAATTGCATTGGGAAAACCTGTGCTCCGTAAACAAAATGAGAGCACCCATCGTGTTTTCCTCTTTTATCTATCAGTCAAACAGATGTCTCCTCGATAATCTGTCCGAGCAGCCACTGTTTGTGGCCGGGAAGGAGAAGCCGAGCGGTGCGGGCAGGATTACGAGGGGGATGGGAAGAGGGGAGGAGCTGTTTGGGCCTCTACCTGGCACCATCCGCAGGGACTTGATGCGACTCGTGGGTGCTTGGTTTTGGTAAAGGTCTCTGTTTATGGCTCGGTAAGCTCAGAGGTCAAAAACTTTGAAAATAGTGAAGTTGTTCATTTTTTAATATAAAAATGATTTAATTGTAGTGTACGAAGTGTGGACTGGTAGAATTACAGTTGAAGGGGGAGAGGAATGGTGCGTAT